CTCGAAGCACGTTTTCGTGCGGTGGTTCGGGCATACCAGCGATGGTAGCGTCCCAGCGGTTGATGAAACGCTTCAAGTCCGCTACAGTATCACCTACCTTTACCACATTGAGGAGATCTTCAACCCTGTAAAGGCTACCCGCTTCTTCCGAGGTCTTGAAATAGTCGTCGAACATGAGAAGAATCATCCTGCCTCGAACCTGGATGCCTAGCTTTGCCTTTTCTTCTTTGTAATTGATGATTCGGTTTGCTAGATCACCCTTTGCACTTCTGGTCAGCGCAGCTGCTAACTTGGTATCCAACGTTGTGAACTTCCCAGGGTTAGATAACCGCTCTTCCAGAACTTTCCTCTCATCAACAGTGTTGTAAACCTCCATTAACCAGTCCCAGGCGGCATCTGGTTTGTCAGAACATGATTTGATTTCGTCCCTCACATGATGTTTCCACTGCCGATAGGTTTCAGGGGTTGGCATATCATTCAACTTGATGTGATCTGCCTCCTTTACCTTTGGCTTCTCATCTGACTCTCTTTGAGTGAGTGACTTGACCAATTCGATCACCTGCTCAGAGGTGATGGCACCTGATGACGCTGGCTTATGGGGTTCGCGAATTGAAGGTGCAGGGCTATGGAACATATGTGTCGGTGTTTTGCCCCCATCCGCTGCTGTACCTCCGTGAACTGGAAGCACGGGCTTGATAGGAGCAGCTGCCCCTGGTGGGGCATCACCGATGATGGTGGCCGTCGGCGCTTTGGGTGCGAACAGTCCACTCAAACGTGCAGTAGCCTCTGCTGCAATGGTCTCCAGAGGATTTTTCTTCCTAGTGTCATCATGCCTAGGGGTAGACACTGGTGTGTTCATGACACTTGTTGGACGGTACTCTAGCTCGGGTTCAGCATGCACTTTGGCTTTAAGGTCATCGAGCATTTGCTGCAGGCTATAGTTTTCATTTTCTGCGTCGCGTAGCTCACGTCGAAGCTGAGTTTCCCGCTCATCAAACTCTGCACGAAGCGTTGCCACACCTTGCTCGGCACCGCTGGTGATGGCAGTGACAGTTTGCTGACAATCGTGCATGAGCTGGATGCGCAAGGAGTCCAGTTCTGCTTTTCTGGCTTCAGCCTCGATGGACCTTTCACTCTCTAGCTTTAGGATCCGCGCCTTTGCAGCGCTAAGTTCCCCTTGCACTTGGTTGTAGCTAGATTGAGCTTGCTGCCTTACCGAGCTGAGTTCCTCATGATGCTTGCTCGCTACTTCATCGATTGCTTGACGAAACTTGGTTTTTACCATTTCCAACCATTGTCCCATTATCTCTTTGTGCCTTCTCTCTGCCTCAGCAATAATAGCATCTTCATTTCCGTTGTACACTTGTTGAATGTTTTGCTGCACAAACTGAAAGTAAGCTGTGACAGGAGCTGAACCCATGGGGTCATCTAGATCCACTGTGGGCTCAGTCATGAGACCGGCTGGGACAGCTACCGATGATGCACCGTTCCCAGGAATAGCAAGAGCGTCCATGGCTGTGGTTAGAGCACTACGGCTGATAACCTATAGAAACAGCCGTTAAGCTGCAACTCCTGTTTTGGGCCGCGAGCTGCGAAGTCAAGGTGACATGACATCCTACTATGTGCAAGGTACAAAGTGTACATATTACATGGAGTGAAAATACAGATCTATTGCATCAAGATTAACAATTGAGCACTGTCAAAAACCCTAAGAGCCTGTCTTGATGCTATACAGCAGTTGACAACTCAACCACCACTACTGTTGCATCATGTTGAATCCATTTCACCCAGATTCTTGGCTCCCATCCTCGCTCAGCTCCGCATGTCGCTCATCCGCTTGCTTCGCGGCCTGGAAACACTCGTTCGATCCAGACGTTCCGCAGCAATCAATCTCCGGAGGCTCCAGGTCCGAAGACCAAATGTTTACATTGTTCCTGGATCATTCTTTTGGTTTTACCAAAAGGTGTTTGGTTCACATTGTTTGGTTCTTTTTTCCGTGGAAGAGCAAGTGGGAAGAACCGGCACCGCAGAACCCTCGGAGCGCACTTCCTTTGAGCGGCCGGAAACCGCACCTCTTCCAGCCGCTCACCTCGGGGGTGCGCGAGTTGAGGGCTCGGTGCAGCGGCGTTGGGGCGAAGCGGTGGTTGACGTCACGTCTACGCGACGAACGCGACGTGGGAGCAGAACAAGGGAGAAAAACACCGGGTCTCAGAAGCGATGAAAAGACCTGCAAGAAACTCCGAGATGAGACCATTTTGGGGGCATGTGGTCGCTAGACTCTCGATGATTGGGAAAGGATTGGCAGCACCGCCACCACGTGAATTCCAGCTCCGTCGAAGGAGGCTGCGAAGGCTCCCAGGAGAGCTTGGTGCAAAGGAGCCTGGTTAGTGGGAGGAATGGGACAACATGAACACCAAGGAGGCTTAGACTGAAAAGGCAAAGGTCATCGCAGGTAACCCAAAACCAATGACTCTGAGTGGACCTGGCCTTGGAAATCCCACCCTGCAGGGAACCCAGATCCTGTCCCATCTACTTCTCTTGAAAATTCAACATCACACGCCTCGCAACGATCCAATTTTCAGAAGAGGCCTGCTCAGGGTCCGTGCTTTGCGACTTGCACGGGGCCGCCCACGCCCCGGCTGAAACGGCCGCCCGGCCGAGTCACTCAAGGCCTTCACCTCCTCAGCCAGCTTCGTCCTTCGTTGCACCTCCTCAGCCATCGCCTCCGTAGCGACGGACGCGGCGACGAAGAACAACGGAGGGACGGAGGGACGTGGCCGTCCAGTGAGCCTGTGAAGTTTGTTGGGGTTGGAGTGCTAGCCATCTTCGGAGTATTTTGTGGCAAGATCGGAAGAACTATAGACCCCAGACACTCCATGTATGCCATATATGCCTACATTGACCCCCAAAACCACCCCAATGTAGGTAAATATACCATACATGGAGTGTCTGGGGACTATAGATAAGAATGAGTCAGTTGTGACTTTCTTTCCTGTAGTATGCCTCACATCAGCGGCTTCTGGCACCTCTGCCTGAGCCCAACCAGCGCGACGAATGGAAGAGGCCTCCCAGCGGACAAAAGCCCACATCGAAATGCCCAAAGAAAGCACAGAGCATCAGCAGACTCGACCTGGTGTCTGCAGGTGTTATGTTGCGTCCTTGGTTCTCCTTGGCACATATCTGATCTGATGCTTGGACCAAACAGGATCAGGAGCGATCAAACCAAATCCACACCTCTTCAGTCACTGTTGCGCTCGCAGCTTCCACGGCACTGCGTTGACTCTCCACCTTACGATCGGGAAAAAGACCAGGACTCGCCCTTTCCACGTTGACTCCCCTTCGGGGAGTCGGCGAGGCAAGCCCCAAAACGGAACACCAAAACTTGGAAAATGCTTGTTGCCCATAGGTCTGGGGCGGGTGGAGTGGGGCCTTGGAGATTTGATCCTCCATCTGAGCAGGGGTCTTGTAGGGGTTTAGGGTTCTTTAGATTTGGGCGTCCCAGATTCTCCCAACGACCCTCCCTTGCCCTCTGACAGAACTTGGAGAAACAATTGTTCAACTCCACTTATGGTGGTCCCAAAAAAGATAGAAACAGTAACCAATGCATTCTTAGTTGGGATGTCTATATAGACTCCAGTCACCCAAAACTCTGGATAACTCCAGTCCCAAGACCTACCTGGTTTCACTGATCGACCATGGTGAGGGAAGTAGCTCCACGACCCCATCCACGGAGGGCGTTTTCTCCGAACTCCACAGCTCGACCTCTTTCATGAGCTGCTGCTGCAGCTCTGGGAGCTGGCTGGCGATGGCCTCTGCGACCACCTGGTGCAGAAAAACAGCGCTTCAGATGCTTTTTGGGATCTTTTTCAGATGGTAAGTGGAGGTCATGATTGGCCACAGGTCCGATTGGTGGCTCGAGGTGTCGCACCTGCATCCATCGCCCATTTCCTGGTCCAGTGGGCTCCAGGTCCTGCTTGGCTCCAAGAAGCCTTCTGAACTTCTGCCCTAACTTCCCCCCTTTTCCCCAGCCTCTTCCAGATGTCCATTTCAGCCCCATCTTCACAGAGGAAAGCATCGCCTCGCCTTCCGGCACCAATCCCCCCCAGCAGCGTTCCGGCCCGGCCTCCCGCGCGGCGGCGCGGGCTGTGTGCTCGGCGCAGTGGAGGAACTTCACGGCCAGCCGCTCGAACCTGTCGCAGCGTTGAGGATCTTTCCAGATGAAAGGAGAAAGAGGTGGGGGAGGTGGGGGAGGTGGGGGAGGTGGAGTGGATGTAGACTCTACCTCAAAGTTTCAAGAGGAGTGGAAAGGATGATTCACGTTGCTTGATTCTTTTGAAGGTTGATGAACAGTTGATCCAAGCGAGCAAGAACTGGGAAGCACCATAAGAGGTCTGGATCCATTAGAAACACCCCGGTGCAGCTTGAGTGATCCCCCAGCGACCTTGGGATCTGACATGCCATCAAAGATCTCTTCATGGGTGACCAGGTAATCACATGGGCTACTCAAAATCAACGTCTTTTCACAGGGCTGCTCGTGAGTAGCCACGAAATTTGACAATGACCCGTCTCACTGCACCGTCCGATGAAAGTTCGCCTCTAACCTCGACCCGTTCGCGGACGCCGGCCTTGGATCCTGGGGCGGTTCATTGGGGCTGGTCATGCTGGCAGTTGGGTCATCCGGTCAGTGTCATCATTGGAATGCTATTAGGGTGGGAGGCCTGGGCCTGGCCACCACACTGGCCGGACAAAGGGAATGAAGGATGCATTGGAACATGTTTTGCCATTGTCAAACATCACCTTGGATATGAATCCATGGAATCACTCAATGCTCAATACCAAGCGGATTGGTGAAGATGCACACTGGCCAAAAATGCCAGGTCTCTGTATGTCACAGGGCAGGTTAAAGCCAGCCACGCATCAAGTCCACCTCTGCACCTCCATCTCTCAGCATCACACAGGGCTGACTGACTGAGTAACCTGCCTCGAGAGCTTCTCCTTCATCAGAGCGTCCGTCCTTCCAGAAGCATCTAGAAACTACTCAGACTAGTCTGACTGGTCTGAAAGGGTCGCAAAGAAGGGGCAAACCTTGCAAGCCTCACCGTCACGAAAAGGTCACGGTAGCCAATACCCATTCTCTCTCTACCCAAAAAAAGACAGGCTGGGTCGAGAAGGAAAGAAGCAAACCGACTCTCGAAACCCTGCTTACAGAAACCAAAACAACGACTGGGCAGGGCACGACCAGCGTTGTCGCGCACTACCAGCGTTGTCCGATCAAAGGCACGGCCTCCACGACTGGGTCGTCGCTGGGGCCGTCGCCTCCACGCTTTCAGAGGACACCAAGCACTCCAGCATGGAGGAGACCGCCATAGACCCCACATAGCCACTGAATCATTGAGAAGTAAGACCCCTATTCACTTTCAGGCCGGTAGCATGGTCACTCTGAGGAACACATCGACATGAAAACCGTGGATGGCCCCACAAGGACGACGACAGGATCTTAACAAACAGGGGGTGAACTCCACTTCCATGTTAGTGACTGTTGGTGAGTTGCTCCGAAACCCCCATAAGCTTCCGCAAGTTGGGTTGCTTCCGCTCCCACCCCATTCGGCTGCACTCTTCCGCTTCAACTTCGTGGTGAGAGGGAAGACGTGGATTTGGTGGCTGGTGTCATCCACCATGCACACCCCTCCCTCAATGTCCTTAATAGAGGGATCGGTTTGGTAACTACCAGATATTTGGTAACTGCCAAATATGTCTTGGTGGTACAGTTGGAGGTGTCTCCTAGCAATAGTAAAAAAGGCCATCCATGCCATGAGCCCACCATCCCTGGGCTTTGGAGCCCCATCCCCATCCGCACAATTTCTTCCCTCGCCTGCTGAAGGCCTGGCTGCACGAGCGATCCCCTCTCGGGGCGGAGTAGATCCGCTCTTCGCCCCCCTGTGACCGCCCCCCCATCCGACGTGGAGGATGCTTATTCACAGGGGGTGTCTTGGAGCTTCTGGCCCAAGCCTTGCTTTGCTGGGATTCGGGTCAGGTTCCTCCGACAGATTCTGTCGAAACCCCATGTTTTTGAAGAGCAAAACATCAAAAGCTGATTTCAACGCAACTTGAGTCCAATCACAGACCTTGGTCATAGAGTATTGGCAAAGCGGTTGCTCCTGATCTGTCCAACTCAGCTGGCTTTGGAGATTGGCCATCGGAGCGCAAGAAGGCAGTATCCAACCTTTTCCGTAAAAACTGAAAAGAAAAAGAAACGAAGTCGTTGAGCAACATATGGGTACTTAAGAGCCCCTAAGAAATGCCTTGTGGTCTAGTTTCCCTCTTGCGACAGCGATTTTCTTACCAGATCTCCCTATTTCAATACACACCCATGGCATGCGGAGCGCCGTGGGCGCCTCCGGCGCAAGCTCCGCTCGAAGCTGGCAAAAGCCTCCGGGGGCGACCCGCCCAAAATCCACCGAACGCCGAGGCATATCCAATAACATGGTGGCTAGGTTGGCTGAACTCTCACAAATAGTGATAGTCTTTGACCAACTCAGCAACTGCTGGGCAGGGTCGGTTTCGGGGGAAGAAGTGGTGAGACCCGTTCACCCCGCCACACCCGAACTCGATGATATGGAAAACACCGAACGTTCCGCTGCCTTGAGGCGATCTTCGAACCAGTCATGCCCTCCCCATCGGAAAAAGGACCGTGTTCCTCCTTGTTTTCGAAGTGATTGTTTCGGCAAAGAAGTCCGAGAATTGGGAGATGAAGGGCGCCCTCTCATCGTTTTCAGGGCGCCCATGGTGTGAACTCCACCGGCCTCCGACACCTGCCGTGCCACAGAGACCTCCAGCGGCTGGAGACCCTGGCGACGTCTCGCCGAGACTGCGAGCTTCAACGACACAAGGGGGGCGCAGGGTTGAGCTAGAAAACCCAACAGCCAAGTTTACAGGAATATCCTGTCTCAGATCACCTGAAGACTGTTTCAATTTACATGGTTTGGAAAACTCTGGGACCCCCAGGGTAAATGTGAAGGGGAGATCACAGCAATAGATGGCAATAGGCTTTTTGCCGTGAAGCTGTCTTTTGGGGGGCTCTTGGTTATTGAGACAAGCCCACATTCCATGATCATGGCTCGTTATGAGGTTTGTAGGGACCTCTATCAAAGCATCCAAGCCGGTACCCTGTAAGGATCTCCAACACTCAAACCATCAGCTCACTCACCACCCCATACATTCCACTCCTTCAACAGGCACATTCCTTTTGCACCACTGAGAGTCTTCTCTTGGGTCTGGCCAATGGCACACCGCGGCTTTGGCGCAGCCGCAGCAAATCGGAGGCTAGGGCTGATGTTGAGACATCGCGATTTGGGTCACAGTTTGCAGGTTGTGGTGATTTTGTGAACGGTTCAGCATCTGAGTCCTTTCAACTGCGAGTCCGAACATGGTCATAGAAGTGCCTCGACGGCTGAAACAAGAGATCATGCTCAATCCGCCCAGAGAAACCCCTGGCAACGTGCACCCAATATGTACCGCGCAGCGCCACGCGGTGAACCGCAGTTTAAGCATAGATGAAGTGAGTCAGCGGCTGCGTCACAAAATCCATGGAAGCACAGGCGCTGGGTCGAGGCCCCGTGTAGGCATCACAGACCTTAGATTCCCCCGCGGAAGTCCAAGCCTCGCTCCATGAGGACTTTGGAGCGATCGGAAATTTCCATGGTTTCGTGAGGTGTCCTTGTTTTCAGACCCAAAAAACGCAAAGAAGATCAAAGAAGCAAAGCTCAGACGGCCTACTGGGTGGGACCATTCTTCAGTTCATGAATGAGTCCAGGGCCAGGACGTGGAGGGCAAAGAACAGGACGTGGTCTCCAAAAACAGGACACAAGGTGCCAAGGTGCGGGTTCCGGACAGCGCTTTCCGGAAGCTCCAACAAACAAGCAAAACCTCTGATCCCTCTCTTCCCCTTTGACCAACCAAAGAGGTGGTGATGTCAGTATTTCCATTGCGAGGGGCGGCTTTCTTGAGGTCGTTGGGTTGCTCGACGGCCTTGCCATTCACCAAGATGTAGGGCACGCCTGTCGATGCAAAAACATCTTCCGACCTTCAGAACCCGCTGACATCAGTGCCTTTCGGCGCGTTTCTTCGTGTTGCTCACGCGGCTCGTGGGCGCGTTGTTGGGGGCGTACTTGGGATGAAGGCGATGAAAAAACCGGTGGGTTTTGGCATCGCAAGTGCTCCATAACTGGTGGGTCTGGAAGCATCTAGAAAGTATGATTCTGCTTCTGCTTCAGGAGCGGTCTAAGACTCTCCCCCATGCTCGGACTGATTTAAAAAAACACAAAGACTTCTTCTTCCCTCAAGCTCGATCTTCTCGGCAGTCTGTTTATATACACATCGACGCCTCATTTTTCGTCATCGCATAGTGTCTACAGTGAGACGGAAGAGATGATTCACTCGGTTGAACTGTTGGGCTGGGCCCTTTTCGTTCAGATTTTCCTACGGGACGTGGTTCAATCAAATCAAATGAGACCTTTCCCAAGGGATCTAGTTTTGATGGAAATGCAACAGGTGACCCACAACTGTTAGGGAATGTCCTTTTCTATGAAAACCCTTGTACAGAACCCTCATCATGTGAACACTCTCCAATATGTCGGAAACGAACCGTTCACGCACGAGGACCACCGAGCTTCAGGAGTGGCCGAGACATGGCCCGGTCTCCAGCTGTAGACCGGTGGACGCGCGTCGAACTTGGGAGGGCCACACGGTGCAACTGGAGAAGCGGACGCGCGTCGTTTCGTCCAAACGCCTCGGTTTGACCGGACGCTGACCGGACACTGTTCCAGAAGATGTGTTGAACCGAAGCAGTCACAGCAAATGGGACGAAGAGGCAGGTCATCCGAAGACTACGGAATCCAGAGAAAGACGACATCGATGTCGAGGAAGAGAGAGGGAAAAGGCCATTGGTTCGCCGGCTTTCTGTTGATGTTCCTAGTAAGGCCAGGAGCCCCGTTCGTAGCGTCCTTGCTCCGTTCGTAGCGAACAAAGACATACTAGTAGCTTTCTTGTTCCTAGTTAGCTTCAAAGACCGTTCCATAATGGGTCAACACATCGATTGGAAAAAGACGGATGGCAGTCCTGCCGTCTTCCAGCACTGAAAACACCAGCTCTGCTGGGTCGGCGCCTCTGGCCGGGTCTGGCACAAAAGGGGGCGCTGCGCCGGGTCAGGCCGCGCGATGTCTGTTGAAACTTGGTGGGTGGGAACAAGCAAGCCACAGAGCCGAACCGAACAAATGAAAACTATATTATATATATAATCCCCTATGGAATTCCGGGGTTGGGCCCCCGGACTTTTATAAGGTATAAATATGCATTTGGGTAAGAGTTCATGATTATAGAATGAATACCTGATCACACATCACTCACCTTCTGCCCGTATAAACTGTCACCCCTCAACCCTCTCTTTGCACATATGGCTTTTCAAACATGCCTCAATAACAAAGGTTTTAGGGCCGTATAAATTGAAAAGACAATGCTGAGATCTATACTATCTCCTATTTTTTCACCTATGTCAGATTGGGCAGGAATCTATCTTATAGCAGCTGGTGGCTGCAATGGCTTAATATTGGATTCTACAAGCAACCCATTTTATAGTGGCACCATGTCAAAGGCTCACTTTCCACAAGAATTCTGATGTGGTTGGTGTGGAAGACCTATAGAATATATTTAAAAAGCAAAACACGACCCACCCAGGTCTATAAAATCAATACCCAAGGAGGCCAAAGGTGAATGATGGAGATTATTTATGAACGGGGGGGTTGTAGTGGGGAGGGTGGTGCCTAGTGGGTCTTCATTTTATAGCCGCACCATGTCAAAGGCTCACTTCTTTGCAGGATTCTGATAGGCGGTTGGTGTGGAAGCTTTATAAAATCAAGACACCACCCCCCAGGTCTATAAAATCAAAACCCAAGGAGACCAAAGGTGAATTCTTCTCTGGGTTTCCATTTGTGCTGTCCAACAGAAATTGAAATATTCTATTCCAACAAGGTTTCTGTAGATTTGGCTGGGGGAGGGGTAGTGGGGAGGGTGGGGCCTAGTGGGCTTTCATTTTATAGTGAGATCGTGTCCAAGGGTGATGTTGGGTGTTTATTCTACAATGCAGGTCGATGAAACCTTATGCATACAAATCACCTTCCAAAACCATACAGTCATACAGTTTGCTGCCCATACAGTCGTGTTGATGATCGACGCCATTGAACCAATTCAACGGAAATCGAATCAAAACGAGTTGAGAAATGAAAAAATCAAACTCTACCATACTCTATCTTAGCTCGCCCACTCCTTATTTAGAAAATGAACGCTTGGAACCCTCCATCAGCCTTCATCTGTATAAAATGAAAACCTAACACATCAGGCAAATCTTGGCTGTTCGCCCTGCGATGCAAGATGGTTTTGTTACAAAAAAAAGTCACATTTGGGCCAGGACAACCAGATCCAATTTTCACACTCACACATGTCCAAGTGGTTTCTATTCATATTCCAACTAATGTTTATACGAAATGGCTGCCCCCAGGGGGCTCGAGCTCCACATTTTATAATGTTTATTCCCACCAGGATTATATATATATATATATATGTACACAAAGGGAGGAGAGTAGATGGCACAATCCCCAAGTTTGGTGGTTTCTATGGACCCTCATCTAAATGACATCTGGCTTTGTGCCATCCAAGGGCTCGACCGCTGGACTGATGTGGTGCGGTGCAAGTGCAAGTTCACCGGTGGCTCCATTAACCTCCGACTCCACAGGAAACCAGTCGTGAGGCCCAAAGCACTGGTCTTTCGCAGAAGTTTCTATCACAAATCCATCATGCTTAAAAGCCTCCATGTTTAGAAGCATTGTCACAGAAGCCCGAAGATCGAACTCTTGGCTGTCTTCACACCAGGCTAGACCAACGATTGTCACCTGGGGTCCTGCCTTTTCCTTCCAGTCTTTGTTCTATATCTTTTTCCGTCGTGAGCAGGTCGACCAGTCTCCTGTGAGCTTCGCAACACCTCTGGTGAGCTTTGAGTCGGATGCGCCCGACCTGGCGTCGAGCCAGTGACTGTGCAGGTCACCATCACCCGCCCGGTCGGCGGAGAGGACGGCATGGTCACGATCTACCAACTCCTGGCCAAGCAATGCCAAAGACCTTTCTTGGCAAAGCCTTAGATAGATCAAGACTTGAATTGAGCCAAGAGACTTAGACTGAGGATTCGAAGTCAGTTCAATGAGGCTTCGAAGATCTCGAAACGACTCGAAGCTTTTGCAGCCTCTGAGGCAAAGCCTCTTGACAGGTCACAGCTTCTGCGACCTTCAAGGCTTGAAAAGACCAGATGGAAGATCCCAGGATCCAGGCACTGTCCCTTGGGGCACTGAGCCAGGGCACTGTCTAGGGAGTCTAGGGGTCACCGATGTCATCCCTTTGGTGCGCCGGTCAAACTCTGAACATCTAGACCAAGCAGTTCCAAACCGTGGCAATGACGCCCCGTGATCCCAGGATCTTCGTATGAAAAGGAGAAATGCGGCAGCACGGTGGCTTGGCAGCACGGTGGGGTGCATTGGAAGAAAACGGTTCCTGCTTGGCAAAAAACGATGTAAAAAGATGGGTGACGGATCGAGGCTTTTTCGAATGAAAAGACTGAACCGGCGTGGACGGATGGGCTTCATCTCTTCAACGCTCCAGAGCCTTGAATCGATGGCCTTCTCATCTTCGCACCCCGACAGCGACTCGCCACAGACGGCACACACGGCCGACAGCGACTCGCCTGCCGGAAAAGAGGGAATTGAGTGAAAGAGGAGGGGCTCGCACATCCAAGCACTGATGCCAAGCCGGCGTCCGTCTTATAGGCTGATGCGAACAATGATCTCGTCCGAACTGCGCTGCCTCTCCCAAGCTTCTGCAAAGGTCGTTGGTGCCTGGTCCACTTTCCTGCCAGTGCCGGTGAGCGGTCACCCCGGTCGAACGGTGACCAGACCAACCGGCTTGGCTTGAAAGACCAGGAAGGTTGGGGCATCTTCTCCGGGATCATGGGATCCCATCTTGTTCGACTCCATAGGCTTTCTTTAAATGGATTTCATGCTTCGTCTGACGTGCTTGCCTGTTCAAAGACACAACACGCCGCCATACACCTCAAACGTCATTGACCTCTCCACACCCTCTGCCGGCTTTGTGTTGCTCAACCCCTCCCCCCATCTGAGTTGACGTCCTGAGAAAGGCCTGGAGTTGACGTTTTTGCTTCTCATGCAACCGGCGGTTGGGAGGTCCAGGCATGTCTCGTGGCAGGTGAGTCCATTTCCAGGTGTCGAAGGAACTGGTCATATCCTTGCCATTCTCCACCTGGGTATGCTCACTCAACGCCGCCAGCACGGTGGTCTGTTGGATCACTCACCGGTGTGGACCGTCGATGTGAAGCAGCGGACCCACGAGAGCGGAGAGCAACGTAGAAGAAAGACTCCAATCCGGCGATGAAAGAACCATCGAAGGAGAGGAAAAATGAACACTTTTTTGGTGCCCTTCAACTTGATTCACCTTGATGCTAGACCCTCACCCTCACCTTGGCAGCAAGACGAAGTCGCCCAAATGGCATACTTTTATTTTGCCCAAAAATGGGATAGGAAGAAGAACAAATCTGTGATGGTCCCGAGTCCCAAGCTACTCAGGTGTGATAAACTTGGGTTCCTATCTGACCTCCCACTCTGTGCTGAGCTTAGTGCAACCACTGCTATTTTTCGTTCAAAGCTTCTGCTTGAGCTTCCTCGTTCCAGGCTTTGTTCATTAGATTGGTTGTTCAGAGGCTCATCAAGTAGCTTGCTAAGCTCGGCAGAGGGGAGGGAGTTGACAAAAACTCCCTCTGCTTGCGTGAGAGCCCGCATTTCTAGACCCGAGTAGCTCATGGTTGATCCATCAACTAGGAGCCCTCTAAAGCTCGACCCCGGATAGCCAGAGACCTCGCACCCCCGTGCAGGACCGAATGGCATACACCTCAGCGGTCTCTTCCGCAGTATACGAGAATCTGACGTTCGGTAGAACTTGCCCCTCCACCTGGCAAAGCTGAGACTGAGTTGCAGGCGGTTCAGGATCATAGTTAGTTAGAACTTCGAAGGGCGTCCCTGCAGGTTGTGGGACAAAGATGCTGGTCAAGAAATATAGCTTGACTCTGAAAAGAAAGTGGTGTTTGATGGTTTCCCCCTGTTAGAGCGGGAGGCGTAGGTTTTGGATGTTCACCTCCTTAAACGCCTGCTGTGAGGTGGCTTAGGCGCTTCACTGATCCAAGTCCGAAAGAAACCCAACGCCAGCAACGATCCGCAGCTCCATCAGTTGGGGGTCTTCCATGAAAGATTGCGGACACGACCTACCCTTCAAACAAATCATGGCTGACGAAAGATGGGGTCAGATCTCACGGGAGGCTACAAAAAAAGAATCGCTTACCCTGGGAAGCCAAACAACCAGAAACACATGGTTCTTCCAATATGTCAATTGAGATCCTTTACATGGGAAGTGGCTGCTTGGAAAACAACCCTTTTCTTCTGGCATGTTGGATTTCCAGCAACTACTTCGCCAGAAGGTCCAGGTGGATCTTCGCCAGATTGGCCCTTTGGGTCTCCGAGAGAGTGCTGGGACACGGAACGGGGCAAAAGGATAATCCATCCACTGAACCAGAAGCAATCTCCAGTCAAAACTCGACCGAGATTAGTAAGGTAGCCTGTTAGACAAGACTGAGATACGCTGAAAAGGACAAGCTAGTGAGCTAGTGGTGGAGAGTTGGGGGGTACAGCAGCTCACACGACTCTACGTCGCAGGGCCGCGCACAGAAGAGATGAGAGCCGAGACAAGAAAGGCAAGAAAGGCCCAAAGAGCCAATCAAAAGACAGAAAAGAGATAGAGAGAGAGAGAGAATGCATCACCAAACAATCCACAGGGGCCATAAATCAAGGCCGCTCACCCTGATTCTACTGCCAAAAACAAATATGGAAGTGGCCATGAAGGAAGACCGTTGTCCACTTGGCAAACTGGCCGCATGTTTTCTGCATCTCTGACTCAACTCTCGCCCCCCCCACGGGAAACCTAAAGAACCGGTCACCTGCCTCTAACTCCTTGGTGGTGGCACAGCCCATGCCAGAGTGCTGGAAAAGCACGAGCTCGACGTGGGCTTTTTCCACCCCAAGAGCCACATGGCCACGGAAGTCCGCCGGCCGCGAGCGTGGTCCATTCAGAAGTCCGCCGCGAACGTGCATCCGATGCGGTTTGGGTTGTGGAGGACAAGCTCCACTCCGTTTTGGGCTTCAATCCACTCCGTTTTGGCCTTCGTACGATCATGAGAAGTGGGGTGCTTTTCTTTTTTCGGGAACCGACGGGAAACTTCGGGCCAGTCCGCAACCATAGGCTCTAGGTCTATCTTCACGCACGCTCAACTGATATCACTGATATCACTGTGTTTCCGAAGGTAAACTCTCCCTTCAAACCACTTGCCCAGGGAAGGCCGAGCTTTCGAGTTTGGACCTCCCAAAGAAGCCCTTTAGGCCCAAGGGGTTGTTAAAACCAATCAACCAAGTTCACCCTCTCCCTTCTGAAGCATGGCGCCCAAAGAAAACATCCTTCGACTCATAAGGTTTCGTAAGGCACGGAAGAAACGTCGATTCGTGTGAAAGAAGACCAAACCCTGTGAACCACTGGAGTGTCTTTGATCCAAACATGGAGAGCAAATGGCCAAAAACTGACGGCCAACGAACGGACCTTGAGACTCTTTCGCATGCTTGGGTTTCATGTGGCTGCTTTGACGCACAGATGGAAGAAAACCCGACTTTGGGCACAGGGACGTTCATCAAGAGCGACACGGTCGGGTGTATTCCTTTTTGCCGGGCCCCGTGGCATCTGCGGCCGCACCATGGGCGGAAAGCATGCACCAAGTATGTTGACTTCCCTCCAACAATTGGTCTTGCAATCTCGAGGGTAGGAGTAGTGGAGGCCGAGCAACGCAACATCCGAGAAAAGCCGCATAACAGCTTTTTACACCAAATGATGAGGGCTCCCAAGGTCCAGTTTCAACCCCCACCAAGATCTGGGGATGGATCGTTCAACCTGGAGCCCTGATCCACCATGCAGCTTGACCTCCCAAGGCAGGTCAACCAAGGTCAGCCATTTGCCAGTGGACGAAAACAGCACTCAGCACTCTACCAACTCACACAGTCACGACAACGAGCTCAAGTGCGACAACCAGCGACCACCACAACCAGCAAGATGTGCAACTCACCCAAAAAGAGAAGAAACACCATTCAGTGACGGCAGGCCTGTGACTTTGAGGGGATGGAGTTCCGAAAACGAGCCGAAGAAACCATGCAGAATGCCTGCTCCCCTGTCGCACCTGGATGCTCCGGGGTTGCTTTCGCTTGCACCACGACGGCTTGGTCGCCGGCCGCCGAGCCGTAACCTTGGTGCGGAACCTTGAGAACCAACATCCAAGCTAAGATCATTATATAACCCTCCCACCACAGAGTTTCCTCTCATTCCAAACAACAATGACCATTGAACGTGACTACGGCTGCAGGTGTTCAACACCCTCCCACCAACCAGATCTCCTGTCCGGCGGCTGGTCCGGCAATGGCGGCCCGGCAGAAGGGGCAGCCTGCCTCAGCAAAGAGCTCCACCCGCACCTCGGCTGCGAACAACGAAATTCATGGGAGGAAAGGCCAGGACCATCTTCTCCCATCGACCCCTTCTCAGCGAGATTTGCCCTGGGAGAACTGAAGGAAGCATCTTGGCGTTGTCGATCGTTGGTCTGGCGATGCGCGGTTCCAAAGTGTCCGATGTCCGAAATCCCTTTCTTGTTGATGCTTCCTGGGAAGGTGGGCTTTTCCCGCTTGCGTCAGTTTCCTACCCACGACCCCCACACCTCCTCCCCACCAACCCTCAGCCTTCTCAGCCGACTCCGCCGCCAGCACGGCTGAAACAGCCAGCCACGTGCACCATCGCAGCACGGCCATGGTGCTCAACGCGGGCGGACAAGTCAGCGCGACTGATCTGAGCCAAAGACCGTCCAGCCGATTCTGGGCTCGGGACGTTCGGCCCAAAAGCTTCCTTTGGGGATCCAGGTCCTCCCAAAAGGGAATGCACATTGCCAGGTATGTGTACCACCTGCAAAGAACAGAAAAGCTGGCCACGTGGGCACCGAAATCATCCATCACTGGCCGTCCCGAAAACGAATCTGGTCAAGTCATTCAATGCAACATTCCTGGTCAAAGACTATAAAGGGAATTATGAGGAGTATGATCTTTGGACTTCTGGGGAGTAGATTCCCAGCTACCGGCAATCATACTATTCACACCACCAACCGTCTTTTCGACAATGCGTGGCCTTGGGAACATACTCTTCAGTTGGTGAGCATCAAGAATTCTGCACCCTCCTCATAATCCTGATTGTGTAGCGGCCGTGTGCAACAACTCACCCCCCATCGTATTCTCAGGTTGAACCGCAGGGCAGCGACATCAAACACAAATGTTCATACCGTACCCCAACGGTTTTGCAAGGTTTCTACCCGCACCGACAACGGGAGATATTTCTGCGGGCGCCTCCTCAGTTTTGGCGACCCTCTCCTCCAACCTTGGGAGAAGTGATCTGCTGGGGAAGACCTCTCTGAGAATAAAGACCTGTGTTTCCTTTGAACTTTGCAGGCTGATGAAGTGCTGCGGCCACTTGTTGTTGGCCATGGCGAGTGAGAGTGTATGTGGTTTGACCATTGCACGCGTGTGGCCAGCTGGCAAGCCCAACACAGAGTCAGTGAGTCAGTCAGGCATACTTGGTTGTGAATTGAGGTCGTAGACTAGTAGGCTTCCGAATGCTTCGGTGTTCTCATGGTGTCACCGAAAAGCTGTTCTTGTCCTCTGTTTGCAAAAAGATCCGTTGGTTGCGATGCAAAGCGCTCGAGCATCTCCAGAGAGGTGTTTTTAGTCGTCTTGAAATCTGTGGGGATCGAAGAAGGTCCCGCTTTTTGTCTTGATATAGAAAGTCAAGCTCAAGAGTCAAAATCAGCTCTTCCCCAAAGTAACAAGACCTTTGGGTGAACCACCCCCCTTCACTTGGCCATTGTTCCAAGCCCATGTTGTAATCAAACCCCACATTTCCCGCCCAAAGCATCAACATCTTCCTTTTCTTCTTTGCTTCTTGCGATGGCCTCCAACCTATTAGCGGCCTCCAGCCAGCCTAATAGCCATTCCCATAAGTGCGCTTCTTTGCCTCTCTGCAACCGGGACCCAGCTCCACGCCCACCCGCGAGGGACGATGTCCATCGTCGTGCACACTCCGTGTTGAGCCGCTCCAGGCTGCGGCCCTCGGTGCGGAGAAGCTCGTCACAGATCTCCACATGGGTAATTTCAATCATACAAATGGGTGGCATGCTTAGGCATGCTTGCTATGAGATCATATGAGGATTAGACCTCAAAATCCATGGTGAACAGAAAGGGGTTTCGATGGACCAAACCCCCCCTTGCCCCACCTTCTCAGCCTTTCCATCTCGATGTATCACACCAAGCACACTCAGACACACTCCCACCAGAATGTAGATGGAAATGTTCCACCAAAACAACGTCCACGGACCAGAAAGATGAAGAGTGCTCTTTGTTTTCACGGATGGTGAACCCTCTGGGCCCCTCAAGGGTTAGGGAATCTACTACAGGTGTCTTCAAATCTTCGAAGAGGAAGACGCTGGATGTTCGATGTTGACTGCTTGGCTGGTGATGAGGATTGCGGAACACTTCAGCCTCAACAAAGGCGCTGGTTCCTTTTGTTCTCTGTCACTTGCCTCTGTGGGTCTTCTTTGTTTGAACACTCAGAACAGCTTTCCTCGCAGCCCAAGTAAATCAATGAAAGGACTTGTGACAACGAAACATCAAGGGATTTTTTTCAGCGGACTGGCGGTGTCTGCATGGAGTGGGACCAGGAAAAGGATCTACATAATGGCATTTGCTTCCTCTGCAAACGCTTTTCACTGCAACATCAAATGGCGCCAAAGCCTTGTCCAATCGAGGACCCTGCCATCTCTTCATGCAGTCCTCCCAAGAAGTCCTCCGCGCTAGAGATGCCCCGCCACCCATCACTTCTTTTAGCTACCTAATGGTGGACATTGATGAAGAAGACCCTCTAGATGCCCCAAGAAAGATTTTTTGTACTATATAGTAGGATTCTGAAAGGGAATCTGTGGTGTAAAAAAAAAATATATATATATATATATCACCACCAGCCCTCTTTTTCCATGTATGGAAGAGTAGAGCCAAACCAAATGTTGACTTGCGAACAGGGCTGGGATAGTAATCATGGAAAAATGATACACCTCGATAGAATCCTGTTCATGTGAAACAAACAACACTAATGCCGAAATGAAGTTGTCTTGTAGCTTGTAACTGAGGCTTCCTGTGTTCCCTCCTCTGTTGCCTTCATGCCAGAAATAGGCTGGGTCCATCGCCAGTCTTTAAACAAATCCTGACTTCCAATGACCGTGAAAAGCCAGGAAGAAAGAAAAGTTACATTTCATTACAGCATAGCATAGAGCTCGGTGGAAGCCTCCTGCCATCATAGCAGGGTTTCAGGCTCTGTTTCAGACACCTGCTTCAATGAATGTGTGAAGACGCACCAATGGACGGTCCATTGGGTTCCAAAAGAGGGTCCAAACGAGGTTTTCTCTGAGGGATGGGGTTCCTTCATCACATCTTAACTCTTTAGTAACCAAGGCATCGCGCCTCGAACGTAACCAGAAGCTCTTAGTAGCAGGTACATCGCTAGTAACAATCCCTTCTCCTGCAGTGCCGCACTCTCATCCATCTGCCGTCGCAGTACACAGCGTTCCACCTGGGCAAGTCTTTCGAATGGCTTTTCCGGCGCCGGATAAAAGGTGCAAGAAAAACGACAGCACATACCAGGACCATCCAGTGGATGTCCAACGGACTGCCGTTGTGCTCAAGACCCATTGGATGCTCAAATCGACACCCATTGGATGCTCAAAAGGTAGTCATACATGGGTCAAAACCTGGAGCCCCAACAACATGTGCTTTGACCTTCCAGGCAGGTCATCCTGGGTCTGGTCAGGAATCGATCGGAAGCACCTCAAAAGGAAACAACGGCCATGCTCCATGCAGATCGTGTGTGTGTGTGTGAAGAACCTTTGAAAAAGAAAAACGAGTCCTTCGAGACCTTCCAGACCTTCCCGACCTTCCAGACCTTGACCAGCCCGCTTGCCTGCTTTCGGCCCCCCACCGGCCTCCTCGTTGTTCCGCCGCAGCGCCTGCAATTCCTCCGTGCGGCCGCGAGCCGTGGACTCCCGGAGCGCGCGCCTGGGCACCGCGAGCAGCATGGAAGGACGCCGGAGCGAGGCTGGTGGGTCGGCTGCGGCGAGGCTGGAAGATGAGAAGACGGAAGACTCAATGGTGACCCTTCTAGCCTTTCTAGTCACAGCCTTCTAGCTAGAAGGGTGATCCTTTGTTTCTTCAAGTCGCCCTTCTAGCCTTTCTCGTCTCCAAGACCAAAGAAATAGAGATCAGGTCGAGTCCTCCGAGCCGATGGGTGATTTCAAATGGAACCACTGAGCATCCCTGCAATTCGCGCGCAAAGTCCCACGCTTCTTTTCGGCGCTCCAACCTCGACAAAGGGAAGCCGTGCGTCCTTTCAGGAACCTTTATGAGGCTTTACGGACTCTCAGGAGTTCTGAGGGATACCCCCTTAGCCTTCAAGGAGCTATGGAACATGGAAAATGGCCTGTTGGATGACGATTCTGCCTCTACAAACAAGTGGTCTTCCACTTCTGCACAGTAGTTATTTCAGGGAGTGTATTATTGTTTTTACTATTGTCATTATTGTTGCTATACATAATATTCTTATTAACACCAGGTCCTTCATCCTGGGCGTTCCAAGTTGATACAACAAACCCAACAAGGATCCGAGGACGACATGAAAGGCAGTTGAGAAAGGAAGCACAGTCGTAACAAGATTTGCGCTGGTTCAGAAGTGTTGGGTTTGCACTCTCAGAGACCCCCGAGTTCGCTGGGTCAAGGGTCAAGAAGAATACACAAAAAGCAAAGGTTTTGAGCATCATTCACCTGAAAATGTCGAAGAACCGTTGTTGTTTCAAAAGAATCCATAGGATATGACTGGGTCTTCTCAAAAGAAGCTTTTGTCCATCCACACTGGACTTTGAGCAAGCCAGCCAGACTCTTTCCGGGGGCACCATGCGCAGAGACCTCACCGCACCATACGTAACTGTGCTTTTCATTCCCCCAAACCTGGAACAAGTGCCAACATCGGTCCTGCGGCGTCTTGGTGGCCTCGTTCCTGGTTCCCGCAAGCCCCGGTGGAACGAATTCGGCCAAGCCACTCCATCGGAAGGGGCGCGAAGGGGCGCGAATCTCGCCGGTCGGCGTTCTTTGGCCAATTCAAAATGCATCCAAGCACCCTGGAACAAGTAACTAATGGGAAACTTGAAACGGTTGAAAAACTATGCCATGTGATGTGCAACTGTTTGTACTTCTGCACAGCTTCCTTCAGGCTGACCAAAAGAATTCTACAAATCTTTGAGTTCTTCGGAGTGTTGCCAAACAGCCCTCCATTCTTGCAATTTGTTGCGGTGATTCGCTGTTGGACCCAATTCTGCATTTCAAGTCATCTGCGTCCGTGCGTGTTCAGCCACGCTCTCTGGCAGCGCACACCGAATCCGGACTACGAGCAAGTCATAATGAAACAAAACACTGGAAATATAGTTTCGCACCAAACCACTCGCAAGTCAACAATGAGGACATGACAGGACATGTAGGTCAATCACCATGATAGTTTTCAGCAAGCACAAGATCTTGGTGTGTTTTCATCGAACATCATGGTGGGTGGCACATGTTCACTGCTGAATTCCGACGGCATTGTTCTCTTCTCGGAAGGAAAAAAGTGCATCACGCAATGCAAATAATTAAGTCGCCTCTCAGATGAGTTTCTGCTGAAACCACAGTATTTCAGAAACATCACAATTCATGTCTCCAAAACCCAAATCAAACTGGAGAGCTGGAAGGAGGCAAACATCTGAACTGATATTTGAGTTGTTGCACAGCGGTACTGGGCTGACTGATGCGTATTTGCTGTCATTCAGATACAATACAAACACTCAACATCGCTGCGCCTTTTCCTTTTTTTTGGCACGATTCTAGACGCCATGTGTGCAGAGGTTGCACAGGTCATCTTATGCTAGTAAAGAGAGAGTTACGATCAAGGTTGCCGAAAGACACGGAACAAACCAAACACCCCAACAAAACGAAAGGAGCAACCAGGCAGTAACTCGCTGCGCCTTTTCTTTTGGAAGCTTTTGGGGTGTCGAGCCCGTGTCATCACCGTTTTGCAGTTCGAGAACCCAAGTCGGGCTGTCGATCATCAAGATTGGTTGGAACACTTGCTCGCCCTCCTCTCAAAGCACTGTGCCTGCCACGAAATCTGTTTTAAGGTCCAAAACACAGCGCCACAAAATGTTGCACCATCTTGCAGGCTGCCAAGGCGATTCGCAACAGGCAGTACCAATCTGGTGCAGCCCGACCACACCTGATCTTTCGACTTTGCGCTTGGTAAAAGCCAAGGGGCTGTCATGTTTGTGGCTGCACATCCGAGACCAATTGACAGACTCTGACGCAAACACAAGTCTGCGCCTGAAAGATTGCTGCACGTTTTCTGCAGGGACGATCCCAAAGGGTCGTGGCAGCCACTTTGTCTGGCTGAAACCGGTGCGCCCCAGCGGTGTTTTGCTGACTGCATCTGGAGCACGTCATTTGTTCGGTCTTCGCCACGCAGTGGTTGAGACCACACGTCGCAAGAACTGCAGTACAGCCAACAGAGGTGAGAGCACAGCGTGAAAACTGCAAAACACAATTGAGCCGCCTCTCAGATGTGAAGATGCAAGCTCGTTTGGGCAGTTCACCGTGACTTGCAATTGACCAAGCAGCAATTGAGCCATGTCGAGCAATTGACAATCCAGAGCCTGGTGAGCCTGGTGAAAACAAAACCGTTTCAGTCTGTTGGGCGAGACAAAATGGTCGTCAGTAGTTCATGCTCTTTGTGACTTCTTTGCTCTATTCTCCTTTGAAATAGTGTGAAAACACAGTAGCAACGCGTCCTTTTCGATCCCGCTCCTTGAGCCAAAGTTACAGTCATTCATAGACTGTCTCCAAAAGTCCTCTAAGCTTCTCTGAAGCTCATCCACTCTTCTTGAAAGAGTACATGACTACACCTAGTCATCTCCAAGCTACACAAAACTACACAAGGCTATCTCAAACAGTCTCCAAAGACATCGTGCTCTACCAAAAGGTTCTCTAAGCAGTTCCTAGCCACAAGTTGCCACTTCAAACATCCTCCTGCTAAGGTGGTCAAAGGTCAAACACAAAAAGGGCACAGACCTCCACTCAGCTCCAACCCCAAGCGCTCTAAAAACGAAAATTCCCTAAAGAAGCAAGCACTAGGTGAGCCATACGCTGCACACGTACGCTGTACGCTACTTTTCACACCCCTTCTTGGGTCTCCTAGGGCTACCTGCCTTCTTCTTCTGTCTTCTTCTCTTCTTCTATTCGTTTTCTTGGAGCAACTAAGGATCAGACATCAACTAAGATCCAAACTCCTGCCCTCAAAGGTGGTCTCACTGACATCAATCCAGAGGTAAACTCGAGCTCAGTCCAAGCAAAACTCCAGATTCATCAAAGAATCAACTTCGACCCTCAACCAACACGCAATCAACCAAGGTCAAACGTGTAAAGAGGATCTCTCAGAGGTGGGTCATGGAATCTCATGGGATGATTCCTTTTCTCAATGACCCTTAAACCCTCATCATCGAGATCCTCAAAAGCGCAAGGCTTTCAAGGACAACTTACCTGTCAGCTCAGGAAGCAAAAGGTGATCTAGGGTTGCCATGCCGTGCAAACCTCTGACCTCAAGACCTGACAAGTTCACAGAGTTGCAATCCACTGCAAAAGATGAAACCCCACAAGATGACCTAGACACAAACTTGCAATGAACATGGTTGCAAACAAGCACAAGTGAACTCGCAAGAAACTCGCTGAAAAGCTAAACCTGCGATGAACAGAGCTCCAAGCAACTGCACAAGACATCACAAGAAACTCTCTAGAGGTTACCAGTCATGAACTGGGTTCCAAACGTCCTGAATCAAATGAACTCGTCTTGCCACAGCAAACTCAAACTCTAAGATCACAAACCCTTTGCCACACTGCACGTGTCTAATTCCACCTGCCTATCTGATCTTCCTTTCTCTTTCTGTTTCTTTCTGGCTCTTGCTGTCTCTTGCTTTCTTTCTTTCCTTTCTCAAATCTCCACATCTTCCACTGAGAACTTCAAGCCTTCAACTCAGCAAGAAACAAAACAAGATGGCCTCCAATCAAATTCTCCATGAGTTCAACCTGACATATCACGTTCAATCCAAGCATGCTTCAAGTCAAGGTCAAGCCAAGGTTGCAATCATGGTGCTCATGGTTCTCTCGAAGAACAAAAGAAACAAGTAAACAAGGAAAAGATAACGCCATTTCTTTTCGTGGTGCGTGACGTGGGAGTTTCTTCTTCACTCCTCCAGGCCGCGAAGATGGCCACTCAAAAATCACAACAGTCCCTTGGGGCAACAGATCCACTCAAATTGCCCATTGGTACAGGATCTTCTTGCAACTCCACCAGAGAGACCCCAGTCGAGTCTTGCTCCCCCTGCCGGTATCGGATGGGCGGGAGGCGCCGGAGGAATTGCCGCAGCAGAAGACGCTTGTCCTCCTCCAGCCACAACACGATCCATTGCCAACTTCTGGCCAGCCACCAGCTCCTTCAACAAAAGATTGTCCTCCTTCTGGTTCTCGTTCATGGCCACAATACCCTCGTGGGCATTTGTGATGGCATCCAGCGTCTTTCCTGCCAAGACACTTGTCTCGACTCAACAGGTGATCCTTGATATTAGTCACTTTTCCGGATCCTGAAAGTTGCCAAGTTGCATTCTCTGAGCTCTTGGCCATTCCTTTCAACGCCGAAGTGACTGGAACAGCTGCATTTCCAGCCACTTTTGTGTGCGCTGCTAGCGCCAAAGTCCTTCTGACATCTTCACCATGGCTTGTTGCTTGAGCCTCCATCTTTAAATCCAACACGCCAGACGGTTCAGACATCTCCTGATAGCATGCGAGTCGGTTCGTCGCCCAAACGAGCGTGTCAAGAAGCGACTCCACCTTCATTTCTCCAGTAGGAATCGGCATCGGATCGGACATGCTCTGAGTCCCGGTCTCCGACCTATCCGGCTCAAGTTCTATTTGAGGCCAGTTTTTGGCTTCAAACATTGAAAAAGGAAGCGTAGTGGGCAAATTGAAGCCAGAGTTGGCTTCAAAGATCTGCTGATTTCTCATTCGCGGAACTGAAAAAACCAAAGCCCCCATTTTCATTTTTTGGATGCGCACCCTGCCCCTAGTTCTCTGTCGCCAGTTCCAGTTCCCTCCCCCAGTTCCCTGTCCCCAGTTTCCTGCCCGCCAGTTCCCTGTCCCAGTCCCCACTTCCCTGTCCCAAGTTCCCTGTCCCCAGTTTGCTGCCCCCAGTTCCCTGCCCCCCAGTTCCCTGCCCCAGTTCCCTGCCCCCAGTTC